TATCACAAAGTGCCAACACAGAGATTAAACCAGAAAATTGAGCTTTTAGTTTAGAAAAACAACACCTTTTGTCTTAAAAACACAATAGCAGAACTTTCAATGATACTTTTTATTGAAAGGTAAAAGTTTGCATTTGGCATCCATTTGCACAATTAATGTGGCTGCTCCAGTGATGCTTGGGGACTTGGCTCACATGCTGGCAGAGAGGGCTCTGTGTGCCCGCTGTAGTACATGTGCCATAGGTTCACCACCACTGCATGAGGGGATGAATCCGCTGGCGAATACATCACCCCCATGATTCAATCACCTTCCAAACCCATGAGGCTTTTGGGAGACACCGCAGAAATAAACATAAGAAATGTCATGAAAGTTCTAACACATTTTCTCAGACACTGGAAAAATAGCTTCTATTTTTAAAATTAATTTTCTAGAAAAGTGTAATGATGTCTGCAATTCAGAAATGTATTTTTGAAAATCAAATGGAGCCAGGCAAGTTGATGAAAGTCTGTAATTCGAGGACTCTGGGAGACCGAGGCAGCAGGATGGCAATTGCGACTTAGTAGGACCCTGTCTCAAAACAAAAAAATTTAAAAGGCCTGAGGATATAACTCAGTATGAAGGCCCTGTGTGCAGGCCCCAGAAACCTCACCACCACCATCACCACTGAGATGGATCAGTGGCTGAATGCATGGATCCCCAGATGTACACGGGTGGGATAACCAACTTGAGGTAGAATTCGTGATACTCAAGTTTTCACCATCTCACACAGCTTTTCTTTCTACTTGGAAATGTCTATGGTAAAATGCTGGAGGGGTAGGAACAAGCAATCAGGAGAATGGAAAGAAGATAACTACAGTTTAAAGATGTCAGTCAAAGTTCAGATGCTCAAAAGCAAGGTGGATGCTTGATTCCTACTTGGCAGAGAGACTATTCCTGTGGGGCAGAAGTCGAGAACTGAGACAGACTTGCTCAGCACCCAGAAAAGTCTCTGGAATTGGAAACCTTGAATTGGAGATGAGGTAGACACCAAAAATGGAAAAACAGGGTGATAATCTAAGCAGCAAAAAGACTCTCATGTCCACACTCTCTTCTGCTCAGCTGGTACAAGGTAAAATTTTCTGTCCTCAGAGATACCAAGGACAAAGGAGTACAGGGTTCTAAGGATTAAAGTCTGGCTTGGTGGACAGAAAACCCTCTGGCCCCTTCTCCAACTCAGCCTGAGGACAGGGCAGCAAGGCTGACTTCTCCCTCTCCTCACCCATCCAGGTAAGAGATAGGGACCTTGCTTCCTAGAGAAATCCACAGTCAAGGAGAAAATTTTCATTAACACAGAAAACCCAGGGCCCAAAGAAGTGCCTATGCTCTACGGTGTTGTGATCAGTGTCTCTCAGGGTTCTGTGTCATTGCTGGTTTTGACTATGTGGCCCAGGGTCACCAGGAGAGAAGGCTGGCAACTGAAAGAAAGAAACAGGTAGACCCACCCAAGAGAAGGAACACAGAGGAAAAACGGGAAGCCACATATTTCCTAAAAAACTAAAGTTACAATCCCCAGAGAACAGAGATACTATTGCTTCCGTGAAATATAAACAAGATATTGTAAAGAAGAGAGCTTTTTTTTTTTAGTACCAGGGATCGAACTCAGGACCTTGTGCTTGTGGGGCAGAAGGGGTGCCACTGAGCTAAATCCCCAGCCCATAAAAGAGAGCTTTTGAGAAGAATGAGCTCTTGGAAATTAAAACTCACATAGCCAAAATGAAAAAGTAACAGAAAAATAAGAAGAGCAGGTGAAGAGAATTAAAAAGTAGGACCAACAGGTACAAAAGGTGAATCATACAAGGGGGAAACAGAAAATTAAAGCATCCGTTCACAAAGACCAACATTTGAATGGCAGGAATTACAAGAAGTGAAAAATCAGAGAAAAGGAAATTATAGCGATCCCTTGGTGTCTGCAAGTGATTATGTCCCAACCCCCTCCATGGCTACCAAAACCCTTACTCAAGTCTTTTTACAAAAGAGTGTACTATTTGCACATAACCTACGCACAGCCACCTATATACTTCAAACCATTTCTAGATTACTTCTACTACCCAACACATTAATGTGATGTGAATAGTTCTTATTTTTTAGGGATTTCTGAGCAAATAAGTCTGTGCATGTTCAGAGCCCTATCCATGCCCAGACTGCTCTGTTACTCACTTGTCAATGGTCGCTGAGGAATCATCATCATGAGCATGTTCTTCGGGGTTGTTCTCTTCCTTAAATCAATCCATAAAGGTTGCAGTGCAGAACATTCAAAATGTGAAAAGTGATGCGTCGAGGAGTGTAGAATGGGAAGGGAAGGTGGACTTAGGGGAAGGGATGTGGGATGAGCAGGGGCACTTGCTTCTCACCTTGCCTAGAGGATGTGATGGGTACGTGGTCACCAGGCTGGCCTAAGGGGTGCCAGGTTACACGTTGTTTCTGGGTGTTTCAGAGTGAGATTATCATTTGGTTGGTGGACACAGTGAAGTAATGACCCTTATTCATGTGAGTGGGCAGCATCCATTCCCCTGAGGGCCTAAATAGAACAAATAGAGGAGAGAGAGAGGACAGAGAGAGGATCTGACTCCTTCCTGCCTGCCTGCTTGGCTTGGGACATCCAGTTTCTCCTGTCCTTAGACTTTTACCTTTGGTTTCCCTGGTTCTCGGGCCTTTGGACTCACACTGAATGACACAATCAGCTTTCCTGGGTCTCCAGGTTGCAAAGATTTCCCTGACTCCATGATTATGCGATCCAATTCTCCTCCCCTCCTTCTCCTCTTCTTCCTCCTTCCTCCCCCTCTCCCCTGCCATGATCATCTACTGTTTCTGGAGATCTCTAGAGAACAATGGAAAATCAAATGAGATTGCCCACAATGAGTGTGAAAAATAAGGATTCACACTTAATATTTGACAATAGAATTACACTGCAAAATGACATTTCGGTCAGCAAGGGACAACATGGTACAGTGATCCCATGAGTGTACAGTGGAGCTGAAAAATTCCCATCATCCAGTGACATCTTGGCTGTCATAGCATCATAGTGCAATACACTACTCACATGCATGTGGTCTGCTGGTGTAAGCAAACCTACTGAGCTAGCAGTGTTATAAAAGTACAGCACATACAACTATGGGTTGGGTAGAATACCTGGTATATATTTGCCACATGTTTAACCTTACTCTAGAGTATGCTCCCTCTACTCACTAAAACTAGATGAATGTAAAACACAAGAGTGTGTTATGCTAGCAGAGGCTCAGACAGCTCATGTTTACCTCATCTTTTGATGACATGGAGAGGGAAAGTTGTAGGACTGACCCGCACATCTCAGTCTGTTTAAGCGCACTCTCTGATGCTTGTATGACAAAGTGCTGGCTGTGAAGAGGATGTACTGATCCTTGAAGGAGCGACATGTGGACAGGCCCCTGGCATGGGCAGAGAGGTAGTAGGTTTGCATCTGATGATGCTTAGAAAATGGCCTGATGTGAATATGTTTTTTATTTCTGCCAGCGCATCCAGAGACTTCTTAAAGCAAAGTCTTTCCCTTATCTAGCTTGTTAGAACTAGATCCTTACCAGACAGGAACTATTGTCACTTGTGGGCATGTGGTGTTTCCATTCAAAACATACTATTTCTCTTGCCCTATCAGGGACCTAAACATCGTGAAAATATGAAGCATTGGTTAGCACCGCCAAGCAAATGTGACCGTTGTTCTGGACAGAAAGATAAGGCAGGTGCAGAGACTTGCCGGGACAGAGGGCAAGCAAAGTTCGGAGATGCCATGAAAGGAAGCCTGTCTGGTTTCCAGGCAGCTATTGTGAGTCACAGGCAGACAGAAGACAAAAACCACAGGTCAGAAGAATGACAATGAGGTCTTGACCTTTCTCTTCCAAGAGTTCAATTCTTGTAGTCTCCAAATGTCTGCAAAATCCAGGGCAGAGCTCAAGTCACAGTGTCTTCCTTCCCCAGACACAAGGCAACTTCCTTTCCACCATGTCCCAGGTGCCTAAGGTGGGGGTGGCCTGCACTCCCAGGGCAGGGACCTAACCAGTACATAGCTGGCACTGTTGCCTGGTTTTGTTCAGAAGCTTCTGACACAGGCGCATTCACATTAATCCTGGGCTCTTGCTGCATGCTGAAGTTATGAAAAATATTCAAATGGGTACAGAAGGGCTCTGTGGGAAGCTGAGATGCTCAAGCTCAATGCCGGCCTAGAAATGGCTCGGCCAGTGAGGAAGAAAAGTCACTGACCTGCTCCTTCCTTCTTCTGAAACACAGGCTAGGTCACATGCTGTGCATACTGAACTTTTGTCTGGGAACTAAACCTTGGCTTTGTCCAGGACAGAAGTCAGCCTGCAGGCAGCAGCAGGAATGCTCCAGGAGATCACATGTTGATCCACAGAAGGATCTGTGATGTGTGTTATTTTATGAGTCAGAAATATCCCCCAAGAGTTCCTGTGTTGAAGGATTGGTCCCCAAGGCAGCAGTGATGAGAGGCAGAGCCCTTGAGAGGTGATAGGGTCAGATCATGAGGGTTCTAGCCTCGATGAATTCATCCATTGATGGACTTACACCAAAATGGGTTTGGGGGAGGGACTGGTTACAACCATTTCCTGAAGCCAGCTCCTCCTCCCTCTTTCCCACCCTTCCTCTCTCCTGGACTACAGGATAAGTGACTTTGTATCACAGCCTTCTGGCCTGACATCTCATTATGTTATAGCCAAGACACTCAGTCATTTTGTTGTGCAGTTTTTACTTTTTCATTGCTCAGTTCAATTCTATTGCATAAATATACTATTTTTTTTTGCCTTTCTGTCATTGATGGATGCTTGAATTGTTTCAAATTTGAGGTTACAACAAATGCAGAGTCTATGAGTATTCTGACATGAGTCTTTTGGTGAACGTATGTACTTAATTTTATTAGATATACACCCAGAAAAGGAATTGCTAGGTTATATTGCAAACATATACTTAGCTTAAGAGGACTGTTAGGTATTTTCTCAAAGTGGCTACACTATTTCACACTCCTAGCAGCAGTGTATGAATGGCTTAGTGGCTCTATATGTTGCCACCTTGGGGTGTTTTTGTTGTTTTGTTTTGTTTTTGGTACCGGGGATTGAACTCGGGTCCTTGTGCTTGCGAGGCAGGCAGCGGAACCACTGAGCTAAATCCCCGGCCAACTTGGGATGTTTTTAATGTTAGACATTCTAGTAGATGATCAGTTGTCCACTTAAATTTATGTAGCACTTATTACACTAGAGCATGTATGCCAGTCTCTTAAGTGTCCATGAATATCTATATTCCTTTCCTTAATATAAAAATCTTTTAGCTGGTTACATACTGATTCAGCTATTGACCACATTGTCAAATCTCCCTTGCAGCTACATGTGGGCTCACGACTTAGACCTAGTCAATAGTTCATGACAGAAGTGGTGTGTGCCACTTCTAGATATTGCTTGAATCAACTGATCATGTTGATCACACTGTTCTCTGTCTATCAAATCTATTGAGAAAGTTCTTTCCAATGTAAAGAACCTACTGAACACAATCTTCCTGGTATATTTTATCTATCGATTTTTGGTGTATTTGTTATGGTTTAGATCAAGAATGTCCCACCAAAGCTTTATGTGCTCACAGGCAGGACTTGTGGGAGATAGTTGGATCATGGAGGTGATGTACTCATCAGTGGATGGGTGTGCTACTGGAATGTAGGCTGGACTGGGAAAGGTGGGTCACTGAGGCATGAACTGGAAGGGTGTATCTTCCTCCCTGGCTCCTTCCTTCTCTCTCTCTCTCTCTCTCTCTCTGCTTTCTGGCCACCATGGTGTGAGCAGCTTTCTCTACCCAGGCCCATCCACCATGCTCTTCCTCTCTTGGAGCCAGAGAACTATGGATGGAACCTTGAGCCAAAGTAGACCTTTTCTCATTTAAGTTGTGGGTCCTGTGTATTGTATCTCAGCCAAGAGAAAGTGACTAAGACACTATTGGTCATGCTGTTCCTGGTCCATGGGATTTACTAATCATCCTCTTCATCTAGCAGAGTGGATGGGAGCATCCATCTAATGAAGGAAGGCAAAACTCCTGTGATTCCTGGCCTACCTGTCCACACCTGGCAATATTAGCTGAGAACTAACTGTACTTCTGTCTTGGCCAAACCACAGTATTTTAGATTCTTTTTTCACAGGGGGGAACTCCATACCCTGTGAACACTGTGAATTTTCTCGTTTGCCCTCTGGCTCTCACACACTTGGGCACATGCTGTTTTGTCTGCTCAGCACCCATCTGTGCACTGGGGAGCTGTTCTTCCCCCAGCCTGTGGCTGTCAGAGATTCTGGATCTTTCTCTCTGCTGCAGGTGTAGGCCTACGGTCCAAGTCTGAGCAGTTGCAGTTCTCGTCTGTATCAGTTTAGGATTCACAAGAGGAACAAATTTAATATAAAATATATATATATATATAAATGCCTAAAGGATTTACAAGATAGGCTTATAATGGCTACCTGCAGAATCAGGGGTGGAAGAATGCAAAATGGTCCTCTGAGCTCTAGAAAAGTGGAAGATCCAGTTGAAGGTGGAAGGCCTGGAGTTCTCTGCAGAGTCTGGTGTGAGTCAATGTCAGAAAGCTGAAGGGTCTGAGCTGGAAGATTGATGAGTCTGTGCTGGAAGCCTGAAGGAAATGAAGACAAATGTTCAAAGGCAATGGTGAAGACTGGAGCTCCTCCTTTGAAAGGAAGACTTCTTTCTATTTTGTTCTGGCCAGGCTACAAGCCTGTAGGTTGGTGGCACCCACATCCAGGATGGGTGTTTCCTCCTCAGTTCACAGCCTGTTTGTCAATGATCCACAGACACACCTGGAGCTTTACTAATCTGCTGGGCAGGTCTTACTCATGTCGAGTTGACACATCACAATCAACAATCACACCATCCCCATCCATAGCTGCAAATCCATGGGTTACCATGAGAGCCAATAAAAGCTCTCCCATTTGACTGGAAATATGGTACAAAAGTCTTTGTTATCATCAATTTAGATCTTGGCTGCCAGCAGCCTTGTGCCAGGAGACATCAAACCAACACCCAAATAAAACCAGAGCCATTTAGAGAGGAAGAGGGAAACAGAGTCAGAGAAAGGAGGGAGGAGGAAGACTACACAATGGCTGCTGAGCTCCTGCACCTAACTGTACCTGCAAGGACTGTTAGATGCCAGTGAGAAAGAGTTTGAGCAGCATTTCTCCCCATTGTGACCAAGAGTCCTGTTTCCATTAATATGCTAAACATATCTGAGGGCAATTTTACACAAACATTATGTGAGATACTGGGGATTCTGGTGCCTTTCTTTTAAGATAACAATTTTAATCTGATAGCCTTTGGAAGGCCCATCCAGATGGGATGGATAAGAAAAGAATAAGAATTTTTCCCACCAACCTCTGAGATGATGCATTTTCTTGAGGTCCCCATGTAGGCGACAGAACTACAGAGTGTGTGCAACCTTGTCCCCAGGAGAAACCACAGCTCAGTTGTCCAGAGCTTAAAATCTTGGGTAGTTACAATTTTGAAATATTTGTCATTAGACCCATTGCAAAAGTGTAATATTCAGTATATAAATAAGAAGCAAATGGATCACATTTTAAAACAATTTGATTACTGGATTCTGGTATAGCTGGTTTCATTTCTACTGTATTTGACACTATGTAATTAGAAGCATCATTCTGAGAGGAAGTCTGTAGATCAGAGAAGAAAGAAGAAATATTCAGTAACAAATCTAGTGGAATCTGTGCAGGCCTGGTGTAGATGAGAGAGGAATAGGATGACTTCATAGTGGCCACATGGGGCAGGAGACACCTACTGTTGGAGTGCAGGGGCAGGCATTGGAGGAAATGACGCTGGGTGACTGCCAATGGGCAGGAAGTGCAAGGAGCACCTGGGGCTCCAGCAGCTGGTGGCAGAGGGCAAGTAGGAGGGCAAGGAGGAGGTGCCATCTCTGGTCAGGCTGATGGTGGGATAGGCAGCACCCAGCAGCATCACTGACTTTGACTCTCCCCTGCTTGGACCTGGGGTAATCAATGCACACCCTCCCTGAAACACTTACAACTCCATCTGTGTGACAAAGGCTGCCTCCATTACCCTGCTGTGCACAGGGATGTGGGAAGTGCTACAGTCAGAGTGTGCTGAGGGCTAGATTACAGCCTTAACCAGATTTAGTTAGTACTCTGGTTTGACAGTGAAGACACCACGCAGGGAGCAAGGAACAACAGCAAAGTCTCAGCAGCCTTCATTTATATTCTGCTGCTAGTGCCAGCCCCAAACTTCACCATGTGGTTTTAAGGAAAACAGCCCTCTGAGGACTGCTTCCTTCACAGTGACGGGGACACAGGAGGGGACCAAGGGCACCTGGAGGCTTCAGAATCCTGAGCGGCTTCCCTCTTCCAGCCTAAGCACTTTCTCTGTGTGCCTGGGGGTGACCAGTGAGGAGACTTTATTTTGGAGGCTGGCAGGAAGGGCCTCTACTGGGGTGGCTAAGGGACAGGGACTAACAGGCATGATGTGGTGACACGTCCCCCTCCTCCCCAGAATCTACCAGAGGGCAACAGCAGAGGTGCCATTCCGTGTCACAGAGCACTTCTGGGCAAAAGGCATCTCTCCAGAACTGAGAGACTTGCAGGTCTCTGAGTCTACAGAGGCCATTTCTCCACTCCCTGTGCTCATTCTCTCATGGGTCCAGCCTGGACACCAACACTCACCACAGCTGAATGGAAACCATCAGCTTTTCTTGGAAAAAAAATGCTCCCCATTTGGGCAACCTGGGCCCTGTCAACCCTGTACACCTGCAGCACGCAGGCAGAAGCAAGGGCAGAGGACGAGAGATACATGTCCCTGCACACCTGCTAAGTGATGCTTGAAGCCAAGCAGTGTTTGTGTGACTTAAGCTGTCACACCTGAGCTTCTTTCTCACTTGGGACTTAAATATTATCTCTTGCTCCTCTGCATTTTCCTGATGCTGATGTTCTGATGCGGAAATGGAGAAAAACTTACCAAAGATACCTTAAATATCCAAACTCAGCCTTTCTGGGGAGGCTCAGCGACAAATTGGCCAGCACAATATCTTTGATATGCTTGAAATTAATGTTGGAGGGGAAGGTAAGTAGGTTAGAAAATAAGAGAGATTGGGGTTTATTTTGCCATTCTTTCACATCTGTATGAAATCTGCCACAATAAAATAACAGGCAACAACAAAAAGACAAACTGGGTCACTTTGGGGGTCCTGGGCCATTATACTTGAGTGAAGGGAACAGGAAATGCAGCCCTCCCATGTGTGGGATGTACTTGGGAGCTCTTTCAAGGTCTCATTTATTTTTGTCCCATCCCCTCTCTACCTAGGTAGAGAGGTTTAGGATTCTTGAAGGTCTCAAGTCCAGAAGTATGAGTGCTGGGACATCCATGAAAAGTGTCTGCTTACCCTGGGCTGACTTCTACCAGGCCCAGACTGCAAGGGTCTAAACGTGAAGAGGTTCCAGCAGTCGTTGACAAGTGCCACCTGCCTACTTGGCTGCAGGGCCCCTCAAGATGGTCTGTGTTAGCCCCAGATCTGTCTAGACACTGGCCCTGCAGGGGTGGCCAGCTCCTCTGGCAGGGATTTCTGTCAACAAGCACTCATAGTGGGTGGAAACCCACTTTTTCATCTAATTTCCATCCATCTGTGCTCATTCTGCCCTTGGTGATCCCACAGGGCAATCCTTCTTCCCTGAACAAATTTGCAAATATGTGGATTGTGATGTCTTCTGCTCTACACATGGATTTCCAGACAGAAGGCTCCTGGTGGGACAGCTACCCTCCCAGGCATGCTGGTGGCTGCGTTAGACACCAAGCAAGGACACAATAATCTAGATGTGGCCCACCCGTGAAGAACCAAGGAGGATGCCCTACTATGTCTGCAATACTTGCATTTGTAAATCATACACGTGCATCCTTTCACAGGGCATAGGTGCTGTGAAATCAGCCCTGGTCTAATAATTTCCTGTAGTACCCTGAACCAAATAGGTGGGGACACGATGCATGGATTCCTCCCGCTGAAAGAAAATGGAGAAAAGAAATCTCTGCTCCTTCCCTGCGATCGTCACCACCACTGAAGGCCGGGCACACACTGCCATTCTCTGTGTTCCCACTCCCCTTCCCAATGGGTGCCCTGTCTTCAGGTTGGGGACAGCAGAGAGCTGAGGCCCAAGGTCAGCTGGAAGCAACTGAGCCAAGCATCAAGCTAGGTCCTGTCAGACTCCAGCTGCAGATTCCTGGGGCAGAGGGAGAAGGGCTGAGCTCCCACCCGAGCCCACTTGGCCCCAGTTTGGCCACGTTAACCTTTGATCATGTAGAATGGCCTCCTTTGCTAACTCTACAGCCTGAGGTCCCCCAGCAGCCCACTGCCACCCAGCTAAGGGCCACCTGCAGCCCAGGGAGCCAGGCTTGGCTTCTCACATTTGGGGAAAATCCTACCCTGTTTGTTCTGGAACTGGGTCCCGGTGGGGGCGGGTGGGTGGACGGATCTGTGTCTCTGGGAAGAAGTGAAGGCCATGTCTCAGCACCAACTTTTGAGAGCCCCAGCTCCTCAAACCTGTAGTTTAATCACAAACTCCAGGAGCTACAATGGGGACCCTTTGCCATCTGACATGGAAACTGAGGAGCATGTGGCAAAAGGTCAGCATGGGGGCACAGCAGTTGCCTGCCTACCTCACACCGGGAACACGACAAGGTCTTGGCTTGGAATAGTCCTGAGCCAAGAGCCCAGGGTCCTGCAGGTTTGGTGCACAGGCAGGTCGGGTCCCTAGCGGAGCTGGAGCTGGAGCGTAGGTAGGACACCTCAGTGATCTGTGGGGGCCTGGAAAAGGCGGCAGTCCAGGCCCCCAGAAGGAACAAGTGGTTCCTCGGGAGGTGGTGAGGAAGGGGCTGGAAGGGCACCTTGCCTTGGAAGTCTGCCCTTGACCCAGCAGAGACCAGGCCTGGGTAGGGGGCAACCTCGGGCCTTGCAGTGGGGCATAGGGGGTGGGGAGGAGGTGGGAAGGAGGGAAGAAGGGGTAAAGTGGGAAAGAAGGGGAGGCAAGTGGGAGGGAGGGGAGTTTAGAGCACAGGGGAGCAGAGGAGAGCAGAGCATCAGGAGGGTGAAGAGAGGGGAAGGAAAGAAGAGGAAGGGAAGTGAGGTGAGGAAGGGGAGGAGGGGGAAGGCGGGGCCAGGGAGGGGAGGGACGACGGGGGAGCGGGGAGGGGCCTACGTGCCACCCCACCTCTCAGTCCCCGCGCCGGCGTCCGCGCCCTCGCGCCGCAGCAGCAGCAGCATCCCGAGACCCCGGCCTGGCCGCGCCTCTTCGAGCCCTCAGCCTGCGTCTCCTTCGCCCGCTGCGTCTCCGCCGCCGCCGCCGCCATTCCTGGCGCCCAGACCGCCGCGGAGGAAGCGCCCCAGGTGAGCGGCGGGCGGGCGCGAGGCTGGGCAGGTGGCGGGCGGCCTGGACCCTCGCGGAGCCCCTTCCCAGCCCACATCCCTCGCGGGGTTCCCTTCCAGAGCCGCGCCAGGACCCCCAGACCTCCTGAGCTCCTCCCCAGCTCCTCCGGTCGCCCCCAGACAGTCCTCGCTGATCCTTCCCCGGCCCCGCCTGGGCGCCTCAGAGCCTCTGGAGCCCCCGAGTCCCCGGGGTTCCCCCCTGCCGCGCTTCCGCCCGGCACGCAGGTGGCTCCTGGAAGCGGGGCGGGGGCTCGCGGACCGGGCTGGGGAGGGGGCGGCGCGGTCGGCCAGGCCCCGCTGTCCGCCAGCCTCAGGCCTCGCGGGTCCGCACGCCGGGCCGCTTGGTCTGGACCACGGAGGTCACTGGCTCCGGCCCATGGGCTGCTATTTTGGTCTGGGAGGCTGCGGCCTCTGTGTGCCCCAGATAGGGCCTCGCACTCAGACAGGTGGGGAGGTCGGGCCGCGCGGTTCGGTCACCGCCCCAGAGCCCACGGGCATTGCAGGCCTTGGCTTCCTGTAGGATTTGGGCTGCTGCGGTCTGAACCGGCCAGAACCACAAGCCTTAGCTGGGCTGCACCTGTTGCCTCAGCTTGGTGAGCTGCAGGGGGCCGGGGGTCCTGGGGTTTTGCTACTGAAGACGTGCACACAGCGTCTAGCGGGAGTCGACCTCTTGTTTGATTTAGTGTTTTGGAGGGTGGGTGTGTGGGTGCGCAGTAGTCTGTAGATCCGGGTCGCCCAGAATGGGGCCTGTTGCAGAGGCCAGTCCCTGCTCTCTGGAGCATTGGCCACATGAAGCCTCTCTTTTTTTTAACCTCACTCTGTGTTGACCACATTCTAGGCCGTGGGTGGCCAGGCTCTTGCTGGACCCAGGGCCTGTGGCCAGCCATTTGACCCTGGCGATGGGAATCTTTCCAAGTGCACCAGGCGCCACCAAATGCAAGTTTCCTTTCCGAGGAGGTGAAATGACACCAGTGACCTGTCACCTCATTTGTGCCCCAGTCCTGGGACCTGCCCCCTGGCTGTCCAGGCGAGTTTATTTGGGAATGTTTACTGTGTCCCAGAAACTGGCAGCCAAGGCCAGCTCCTGGGAAGATCCTGGTAGAGAAAATAATGCCCTGATTGTCACTTTGACCGTTGGTGTCTGTGCACATCATGTCTTGGTGATCGGCCACTGAAAAGAAGGAAGCTGGCGGTTTTTTGGAGATCGGGATAGGATGATGAAGAGAAGTTTCTGAGTGAAGGACTGACTGCCCCCGGAAGGCCAAACCCTCTCACTGGTACAAGTGTCTGTAGTCCACACAGTGAGTCACACAAATAGAGACATGAAAACATGGTGGTAGCAGGAGCACTTTCCTGGGGTCCCTTTCCTGCATCATGTGGCGAGACCCTGAGTTCCAGCTGGTAGGCAGTTGGGGCCTCCTGTGGGGAGTAAACTGTCTTCCCCTGAGGGCTGGTCTTCCTGCACTCTGAAGAGCTCCTCACTAGCCCACCCTCCTGATCAGTGCACACAGAATTGGCTGAAAGTAAGGGACCCTCCCTGGTGGCTGGGGTCCTGACAGGTAGACTCACCCTGGGGTGAGGTGTGGGGTTCGTGGCATTGGCCACCCTGCCACCACTGTCCAGTGGGTCTGGGCCCGAGGAGCTGACCTTGATGATATCATCCACTTGTAGACAGTCACTCGGCGTGGCTTGTTAGGACAGATGTTTCCCAGAGCTGCCTGCCTCACACTAGGCTTGGGTGTGTGGCCAGTGCTTGGGAATTCATACTAATGGCGGGTGTGGGGGAAGAGGGAGGAAAAGGCTTCTGGTGCCAGCACAAGAGTGCAATCAATAATGGATTGCAAAGATCAATGATTTTCTCCATCTCTCTGCTGTTTTCTGGAGTAGCCTGCCCAGGGAGGGCTGGGCAGACTGTAAGGCTGGCTGCAGGGTCCTGACTCCCTTATTTTGTGTAGTGAGTCGAGCTGGGATCTGGGTCCTCCCTTGGGGCACCCTCTTTGTCCCTGGGTTGGTTCTGCTATGCCCTGGAAGGGTGTACATTTCCTGTTTTGTAATCTACAGCAAGCTCCTCTTCATGCTGAGAATTTGCTTGGTTTAAAGGACTCTTGGAAAGTTGCATGGTGGATCAGTGAGTGACTCTTAGTCCCCTTCCCAGGCGCTTTGTGCCATGTCCCTGGGCTCTGGGACCCTTCCTGGCATGATAGTGTGTTAGTGCTGCCCATTCAGGGGATTCATGGGGAGACAGGCTGCTGTCTGCAGGCCCCAAGTGGGAGCAGTCATTGACAGTTGCAGGAGGAAGAGCAGGAGGTGAGCAGGAACTAGGCAGGGTCACTGGGGGAGGGTCCTGTCTCCCCTCGGCCTTGGTCTGTCCCTGGCTTGGCAAGTGCAGCTGTACGTGTGCCATCTCCATTGAAGGCCATGGTGGCTGTCCCTGGAAGACTCAGAGTGTGGCCGGGCAAGCTCATCTGCACCTGGCTAGGAGAGATGTGCTGGCCACTCAGTGTGACTATGCTGTGAAGAAAGGACACAGGAATAAGTGGAGATTTGTTAGGAGGTGGTATCTAACTGGAGGCTGACCTGTGTGTGGATGGGTGACCAGGGGTCTCCTCTAAAGCCAAGGGGGGTGTTTTGGGGGTGCTAGTGAAGACTGGCTGCTGTGCATTATGTGGCTCTTTCCAGCTCATGTAATGCTCCCTGAGTGCATTTGTGTTGTCCACACAGGGCCACTTCTGCTGCCCAGCTCCTGCCCCAGGGGCCCAGAGAGCAGCCTCACAGCCACTCCTGCAGGGCCTGTGTGAGCCTCAGAACCAAGATCCTGTCATTTGGTATAAATTCGAAGATGCTGCCAATGAGGGCAGCCACTGCACCCCTCCCCTGGGTTACTTCTAAATGGCACCCTGAGATTACAGGCTTTGGACAAACCTGGACACAGAGTTCTTGGTCAGATTCATGTTTTCTGCTTTCAGAATTAGGCCATGTGTGAGATAGGTGGATATTCATTGAGTGAATGGTTATTTTGAGGGACTCCTTAATGACAGCCGTGTGGTTATGTTGAAGCCATCTTTACTCTTTAGTGATGAATACAATGTGTTCCCTGTAAGATGTTTGAGATATGCCTTAGGTTATTGTGGGTGGGAGAGTTTGGGAGGGCAGGGGGTGTCTGTGGCCAGAGCATGTGGAGACTGGGTGAGAGTTTCCAGGTTTCTTGCTCTATTCTGGCCACTTATATGTTCTTTTGAAATACTCCATAATTAAAAGTTAATCTGAGAACCCCAGTTCACCCCCAGAACATGTCATGAAACAGTTTACTTCATGAAACAGTTCAGGGTGTGCTTTAGAAGATGTGCCAATGTGTGCAGGAAAAGCATCATCCCTTAGCCTAGACTCTACCATATAGTACTGTTTGCACGCATGCTTATAGGTACTTATGCACAGAAGTTCCTTATGCACAAGTGCATCACACACTTAAATGCATGTGTCTGGAAGCATATACCTGTGTCTTCAGCACCACCCTAATGAGAGGCAGCAAGGCTGTAGCTAGTAAGGATGAGGAGGAGTGTGAATGTGAGTGTGTGTGTCTCAGTGGAAGTATGAGGGAGTGTGTGTGTGACTATGAGTGTGTGTGTGACTATGAGTGTGTTTGAGAGTGTGGGTATGTGAGACTGCATGTATGAGAGTGTGTATGAGTGTTACAGTAGTAGACTTGGAAGTGTTTGTGCGAGTGTAAGAGCGAATATGTGGAAGTATATCAGTAGGAGTGTGAATGAGTGTAAGTATGAGTGTGTAAATGTGAAACTGAATGAGAATGTGTAACATAGTGTGTGCATGTAGAAGCATGTCTGTGAAAGTGTATGTATGTTGAGGGGGAGGGAAGAAGAGTAGAGAACTTGTACGTTTTTCCTTTTTCTATACTTCTATATATTTAATTCTGTTACAGTGGAATTATTATTTTAAGTAAGCTTAAAGGAGACATCTCCATCAGCACTGTGGGACCATGAGGCAGGAGGATTACAAATTTGAGTCACAAGCTCTACGTGACTCAGTGAGACCCTACCTGAAAACTAAAAAGGGGGCTGAGGGTTCTGTCCCCAGGCGTGCATTCTTGCACACACACACACACACACACACAAACACACACACACAGAGTGAGGATCTCCATTAGGTCTCTTAATTTCCTCAGGCAGTTTACATAGAGATTGATTTGTGGGAATCCATGCTCCTACATGTTAATAATGGAGATTTGGCTTCCGTGAAGCAATCAGGAGATCAATAATTACTGACCCTTTATATATATTCTCTGGGACCTGAACAGTAGAGAGTGCTCCTTTCCCATAGCAGTCGAGGAGAGGAGATGAAGGCCCTGGAGACCAATAGCAGTATCATCCAGCGGCAGAGGTGTCACTGTGAGGCAGCCAGCGCCTTGTCCAGTGATGGTGAACTTATGGCACATGTGCCTCAGTGGACACGCGGAGCCTTCTCTGTTACAGGCAAGCCAAATCACCCCAGCAGCCCAGCATTGGATATTCAGGTTTAATTGCAGTGTTGGCACTGTGCAATAAATAAGTGGGTTTTGGACTGCAGTTTGAGGACTCAGTCTCTAAAATGGTTGCCTTTATTGGCGAGCATGAGCCTGGTCAGTCCCCTGCCTATTGCCAGCCTGCACTTGCACCCTGCCTTCTCCAGGGTCTGGTTTACTCCTTCTATTTGGTGGAAGATCTGCCAGGTAATCTGAAGCTATGACTAGCAGAAAATGGTGTATCTAGCATAAACCTTAACTATGTAGTAAAATTTGCTTACCTAGAATTTTAATTTAAGAAAAAAATTTTGTGCCATATTGCAAGAAATCAGAGTTGCTTGGGTGGCCAGAGTGTGATTTGCTTTGTTCTAGAATCTGGGTGTCTGTCCTTTAGGGTAGCACGTTGTTCTGATGTTGCTGGGAAGGAAGTGAGTTCATGGTTAAG